TGTGATATTGGCTTAACAAATTTATTAGTAGTAGTTTATATAGTACTAGAGGTGTGATCGACTACAAAACAAAGATGGGCTCCCTTTCCCAATATCACATGGGTTTAGAACAAATTGTTTCATTTAAATTAAAACTGAATTGTCATAAAAATGTCTCTCTCCTCAACCTGTGGTAATGATTTCATACCTCTTCTCTTCCTTCTTTTGTACACTCAGTATTTTTATGTTTATTAGGGAGCCAGACATTGTTTTCCTGTTCTTTATTAATTGTGTTACCACTGTACCCATCTGCTACAATCAAAACACCTCTTGATTGTTGAAATGTAGAAACAGTTGGCATATAATACCCCCACTGAAATCAATGGGAGTTTTACCAATTACTTCAATGGGAGCATGATCTTCTTTTGTACACTCAGTATTTTTATGTTTATTAGGGAGCCAGACATTGTTTTCCTGTTCTTTATTAATTGTGTTACCACTGTACCCATCTGCTACAATCAAAACACCTCTTGATTGTTGAAATGTAGAAACAGTTGGCATATAATACCCCCACTGAAATCAATGGGAGTTTTACCAATTACTTCAATGGGAGCATGATCTCACCCACTTCTTTCCCCACAAGGAAGTACTCATACAAAAAAACAGAATGAGGTATATCTTCTAAGTGATCAATATCTTTTTTTCAATATCTTTCCAACATTTCTAAAACTCCCCAGTGTTCTTTTGTATAGTCCTCCATTGCATTTACAAACTTCTGTCAATTGATGAATTTATATGAATGCAGGGAATATTTTTCACTTCAGTCACAAATGTATTTCAAAGTTTAGAAAAATTGTACTGCTTGGTTTTCAGAACATGAAATTCAACAAGAAACATCAATTTAAACAACAGTATTTGAAAAAATAAATTAGATTATCAAATAAAAATATCTGAAAATAACAATCTGATGCAAACAAGCAGAAAAATGGTTACCTACCTTTAGTAACTGTTGTTCTTCAATATGTATTGCTCGTGTCCATTCCGTTTTAGGTGTGTGCACGATCACATGCACAGTTGCCAGACATTTTTGCCTTAGTGGTACCGATAGGGCTGACCACGGTGTCCCCTGGACTGGCAATACCACAGCAGGGGAGATTAGGTGCTGCCAGTCCTGCACCCTCTCATATTTTTTTTTGTTTGGTTGGTTGGTTTTTTGCTGGTAACTCTGACTGCAGGGTAGAAGGGCAGGAAATGGAATGGACATTAGCAACACATCTCGAAGAACAATGGTTATGAATGGTAGGTAACTGTTTTTTCTTTGAGTTCTTGCTCATGTCAATTCCATGTTGGTGATTCCCAAGCAATATGTACAGAGGTGGACTCAGTTCTCAGCTTAGTGGCTTGCAGTCCTGCCCTGCCAAAGCCAGCATCATCCCAGGTCTGGTGGATCAGTGCACAATGGGATGTAAAGGCATGAACAGATGACCAGGTGGCTGTTCTACAGATGTCCTGAAAAGGCACATGAGCCAAAAAGGCTGTGAAGGAGGCATGTGCCATGATAGAATGGGCAGTGACAATCACCAGAAGCAGCACCTTCACTTGGTCATAGCAAAAATGAATGCAGTCTGTGATCCAAGAAGAAATTCTTTGAGTGGATGTGGGACAACATTTCATTATGCCAGCCACTGTGATGAACAATTATGTCGTCTTATGAAATGACCTGGTTCTGTCAATGAGAAGGCTAGAGCCTTCAGACATCCAGGGAATGTAGCCTATGCTCCTCCTCCAATTTATGCAGTATTGGGAAGACCAGTAAATAGAGATGTCTTGATTCGAATGAAACTAAAAGACAACCTTGGAGAGAAATGCCAGGTAATGCTGTTCACAGGATGGTTTGGGGCAACTGCCCTGCACTTTGGGGGGGCCTCCCAAGGGGTCAAAGGTGGCACCCAAGGACCCAGGGAATGAGTGAGAGACCTGGCACTGGCAGCAGGATTCAGGCCTGCTCCCGCACTCACCGGCAGCGGTGTCAAGCAGAGTGACCCAGCCTCAGTCTGCTCTGCTTGACCTGCTCCCAGCCACTTCACTCTGGTGAAGAGGCTTGGAGGAAGGGATGGAGGCAGGGAGAGGTGGGGTGGGAGCAGAACAGGGGTGGGAACTTGGGGGAAGGGGTGGAGTTGGGGCAGAGCAAGGG